TCTACTGTAATTCATTTCTTCCTCTTGTATTATTTTTCCCTTTCCAATAGATGTTTAAAACATTAGCTCCATTTTAATGCAAATGCTTCCCTCTCCACTTTCTGTGATTTGGAATCTTTTATAACTAATTACTTCTAAGGAGGTTACGCCCCACTCCATAATTTTTAATATTTACTTTTTTTTTCAAAATGGAATTCGAATTTTTGTTATACACAGAATAATAAATGCTTACCACAATATTTTTAGAAGATACTGGAAAAAAATCAAGAAGTAAATGGTTTCAAGGGTTTTGACAGCACTTTCCCCCTCTCTGTTCTTTGTGGTTATTTAGTTGTTGACGGACACAATACCTTTATTTTACTTTTTTATTTTTATGTGGTACTGAGGATCAAACCCAGTGCCTCACACGAGTTAGGCAACTGGTCTACCTACCACTGAGCTACAACTCCAGGCCAGTCATATGTTTCTTTGATGATGAAAAATTCTATCCAGCAGAAAGTGGTATTTTAGTAAGGTTTGGGAAGGGACTCAGCTGTTTACCAGTCTTTTTAGAGGCTTTTCTAGGTCTTTCTGCACACAGAGCCTTTTCAAACCTTTGCTTTTTCTGTGTTGACTAAACATAATTTTAGATCTGAGACATGATGAGATTCTATCAATTTAAGACATATTTTGGAATAATGACTTCAGCTGAGTTAATTTCTCTGCACCAGTTGTTAAAATAGATGAATAAAGACTTCACGACACATTTAATTCTCTCTCTCTCTCTCTCTCTCTCTCCTCACCAATCATGCAGATAAATCAATGTTTCAAGTCCTACATATTTCTAACTTCCCTTATTCTTTCCTCCTCACTTTCTCCCTCCTTTCACAATTTCTCTCTTTCTCTTGTCTTCTGGGTACTCCAGGGGCTCCTCACAGGGTTTTCCTAAGCCAAAATCCACAGATGAAATGCATTCCAAGTGCCAATTGATCTAAGCTTCTTTCCACCATGAAATCTTGCATGACTGATCAAAAGGTACCTAGAGCCAGGTGGTACTCTCTCCTGGTGATTAATTCATACAATTGCCTATTGTCTCCCTACCACAAGTAAACATAACCCCAGGAATTGCTACTGCAGAATGCCTATATCACTCTTTTTCCATGCCACACAAATTGTTTATCGCTGAATTCACAAGTCAATCAGTAATCAATCAGTTGCAGGTTCAGAAGCTTCCCTATCTCTAATATTATAAAAATAAAAACAACAGCAAAAAACATTTTATACTTATTGTTATTATTTTTTGGCAGTTCAAACCTGGAAATTGTTCATCAGCCCATATTGACATGGTTCATGGCGACATCTTGAGAAATCATAGCCCAACCCACAGGCTGCTGACCCGTTGCAGTTCACCCCAGAAATGATGGTGTCATTCATGCTTCCAGTGGCATCGCGGACCACACAGGCTGCTGTGGAGACAATTATGGTTTGTCATTTCTTTAGAAGGATTCTCATCCCCTATGATTTTCTTGTGAAAAAACACTAAATTGACTTTGAGTCTGAAAAACTTATTCGCAATCTCTGTTCATGGCCAGTGCTTCTTGGGATGTGGCTCCTGGAGGCTCCCATCCTTTGAGTCCTGGGAGTGGCCCTGTCAGAATATAGGCTGACATCTTCACTGTCTTGAGTGGTTTAAGTCTTAGCTCTCAACAGCTACTCTGAGAGACCTGGGGGTTGAGACTGCCTTACTTTTTGATCTCTGAAAAGGTGCATGGCAATATTTTGCACACAGTATATACTCAATTCATATTTCTGGCTTAGTGCTACTGACCACATGCTTTTCAAGTAGAAGGATATATTTCTTTGTCAGTGAGGGAAACAAGGGAAAGCATTATGGAATTAAATTTAATATTTATGGTCAAATGTTGTATCAAACATCTCCCTCAGTTAATCCCTTTTATTATTTTCACACGTTTGAGTATTTGTTCTTTTTCTATTACAAATATTCTACAATAAATATCTTTGTGTATAAATTTTTCTTCTTTATTTCAAAACATTTCTCTAGGATAGATTCTCAGAAATGGAATTTTGACCATTTTAAAGACTCTTGATATATATTTTAACTACTGATTTTCCTTGAGTTTTTCTGGACTGTATTTGCCATTCTGTATTTGGTAGGATTATTGAAATATATGAATATATGTGTGAAATATACATAAACTTTAAAAAATTACATAAAGGATAAATATTATGCAAATGAAATGCCAACCAATAAAGCTGCTTACATCGCTTTTCACACTCTACCCAGAATAGGTTCTAATTAAGACAGGTCCCAGTGTCAGGAACTAATAACAGGAACCTTCAGTGTTAGTCATGGAATTCACATTCTTTGAGCCTGGGAAAGACTTAATAATCATAGAATCTTTGAATTGAAGGAGCCACTAACAATAATCAGTGAATCCTTCTTATTATAACCCTGAGAAGTGGCCTGCCAGCCTCAGCTTACACACTCCAAATTATGACTGTTGATTACTGAGCAAAATTATTCATTCTAAATTTTTACCTTTTTGCATTGTTCATTTATGTCAAACTGACTTTTATGAATCATGTATTTTAACTTCTGCATAATAGGTCTCTCCAAATTCTCATGAAGCCAGCCCATGAGCCATTATCTGAATTAACAACAACAACAACAGCAATAGCAACAACAGAAACAACCAGGTTGTTGACTCCATGGCTGCCCTGGGAAGGATATAGAAATGCAGATTTTCCCCCCTACATATAGGGGGGCCAAAACAGGAAGAATCTCTGACATCAGATCTCTAACTTGCTCATTCCCTCATCTTTATTATGTGTGTGGAGGGGAATGGGGAAATTTAACTTTAGGTGATTTCATTGTCCTTTAAAAGTGTGTTGATTTTCTAAAGCATTGAAACAAAGTCTCTTTACATGTAACTAAACTTGGAAATGACACAACAATACATTTAACAATGTTATCCAATTTTCTCCAATAAGAGGCAGTGAGATAGACAATAATCAAAGGGTTTTGCTTTTGTTTTTCATTATCTTTCAGAAACCAACTTAAGTTCTATGTGTTTTCCCAGTTTCCCCTACAGGAAGCAGAAAACCACTGAGAAGTCCACTTTGGTAAAACAGTCATCAGTCCTCCATAGTCGACCAGCCTGGGTCTGTATTTTCTAATGTATACAGAAAAGGGTTTTCTTGTCTGCATCTCAGGAAGCCAAATTTCTTTCTCTCCTGCTATGGCCTAAATATGGGGCAAGGGGATGGGGCAACCAGGAATAGGTGTGACTGCAGGCAGCAGGTGGAACTGAAGTCATACTCAGGAACAGCAGGAAAATACACATATTTTCTGCTCAGTGAGCAATATGGGGGCTGGCCGCCCACATTGCCAGCAGCTGGGTCTTATTCTGATTTCCTGCCAATTGGTGACAGTGACATTTTCATATTAGACATGGCAGTACAAAGATGAGATACTCTCATAAATTCTACATTTTTCATACCTTCCTAAGGCCATTTCTTGTTTTGTTTTAGTTTGATTTTTTTTTTTCAGTGTATTCTTTACCTTCCTCCTAGGGGAAGGGAGATGGGTGCTGGAAGCTGAGGGTTTTCTTAGCAGTGAAATTATCACCCATGGGAGCAGAATGGGGCTCTCTTTGGGTTCAGGCAAAATGACAATCTGATTAGCTCTGCTCTTGCACTGACCCAGGATGCCTGCTTTACAGCTCAATTGCATTAAAAGCCAAAAAGATCCAAACCATTAACATTTAGGTACCAAGAAAGGCAGTAAAATTGTTGCCTTAAAAAAAAACAAAATAAAACAAAACAAAAAAAAACAAAAAAACCCCCTCAGGTTCCATTGAAAGCCCTCCAGACATAAAGAATGACTGGGCTCCTTGTACTTCTGACATTCTGATACCAGACACATACAACTTACCTACACAAATAGCAACCCCTATGTAGGCAACCGTGGTGATGAAAATGGCCAGCATGGTTCCCCTAGGGATGGCATCTTGGGGGTCCTTTCAAAAAATAATGTGGGAGAGAAGACAGGGCAGAATAATAAACATAGTTTGCTTGGAGTTATTTCTGTATTTTCAAATTTTTAAGATACACTTCCTAAGACAAATTCTAAAGAAGTGATGGAGAAAATGGCAAGGTGGTGAGCTTGAACTTTTTCTGGATGAAGACAAAGTGCTTAGAGCAAATTATGAATCCTGTAAAACTTTTGTGCTGAACAGACGACATCTCTCACTGCCCCAGAGGGAGATTTTATAGAAAAGTACATTAGGTAGTTCACTTACCAAGGCCTCTCCCTTCCCTTTGTCTCCTGTGATTTTGTGTGGCTGCATCAGACTTTAAAGCATTAGGGGACAATATACAAACACATTGATGATACCTGCATGTGTGTGTTTGTTTTATATTGAGCTTAGGCTTGCCCTTAAAAAGAAATCACTTGTGAGTGAGCAAAAAGCATGATCTACCAAATTCTTCAATTTCTCAAATCCCCATTTGGAATCTAGTTCAGAAATAATCACAATGGGAGATGTTTAATTTCCATAAGCAGGCATAAATAAGGGCAAATTCAAGCTTATACCAGAAAATGGGCTTCTCTCTTGCTCATAAATGTATATACATTCACTAAGCTGAGTTCACATCATATTTAATTTACCATTTTATATCCTATTTGGGGGGCTAAATCATATCAAATCAATTTCCAAGCAGCATATTGAATTATATTCAATTCAACTTAACAAGAATTATCAAATAGAGATTTTAATGCATTCGTTGTTTATACAGGACAGTGCCTGGCATATAGTAGGAGTCAATAAATATTGAATTGGGGGAAGTAAAATCCCAGTAGGCATTAGTCTCCCACTAGAGGACAAGAAAACTCATCAATACAAATAAGCAATCAATACAGTCAAACAAAAGTTTGAGATTTTTTTTTTACTTAAATTATGCTAATTAAGTCCATCAAAAAGGTCACTCACAGTGAAGGTAGACTCACTGTGACACCTGGAAACCACAACTGAACCAAGCAAACCTGCTCTCACATGGAGTAAGCCAGCCTGTGGAACCATTCTGTGATCACTACCCCTCCCTACCCGCCACACTCTCCTATGAATATCAGCACACACTACTGTTTGCAAAAGTCAGTGTGGCAGATGTGTGCAGTGGAGAAGCTCAAAGAAATAAGAAAGTATCTGTGGATTTTATGGGCCTCAATTTCCTTGTTTATGTTATATTTCAAAATTTATTTATTTATTTAACATTTTTTAGTTGTCTATAGACCTTTATTTTATTTACTTATATGTAGTGCTGAGAATCAACCCAGTGCCTCACATGTGCTTGGCAAGTGCTCTACGACTGAGCCACAACTCCAGTCTCCAAATTTACTTATTTGATTAGAGATTTCTTGGGATCTGAGTGAAACGTGAATTAATTTAAGTGGGAAGAAAGAAAATGTACATGGATAAGAAGGGTGAAGATGGAAGGCAGTTTTGTAATTAAAAGACAAAGACTTGGTGTTTATTTATGACTATTACAAGCTTTAAAATAACTTAATAGAAGTTACATGAGGGTCAAATTTGATTTATATGTTAAGGCATAAATTGTGATGACAATATATTAATATATGATTCTATATTATAAGATCAGAAAAAAATGGAATTATCTTGTCTGCATACCTATAGACAGGGTTTGCAACTTTGAAAAATTCTTAGTTTTCACTCTAAAATATTAATTTCCTTCCTTTAGCAGTAACCCCAAATCTAACTTTCTTCTACAATTTTTCATTAACATCATATTCTTTTCTAGTACTGAATATAAATAATCTATTATATTGCTGCTTTTGGAGTATGAAAACCACATCCCGATTTTGCATTTCTGAAATCATATCTTAACTCTCTTGATTAGACTTGGGTATTTCATAAATCTTCTCCCAGGTATGTATTTACAGACCATCTATATTGTATTATTAGCAAATGAACGGCTTAGGATGTGAACTCTGTAGTGTCCCTTGTGCCAACTCTTATTTTTTACATACATATTTTTAGTTGTAGATGGACAAAATACTTTTGTTTCTTTAGGTTTTTTGTTTTTGTTTTTGTTTTTGTTTTTTTATTTGGTGCTGGGTATCAAATCCAGGGCTTCATGCATGCTAGGAAAGTGCTCTATCACTGAGCCACAATGCCAGTCCCCTTGTGCCAACTCTTGATGGGCCATCTTGAGAAGGGTTCTGAGACTTTAAGCAGATGTAAGCACTTTGCATCTCCCTATTTTGTGTGAACAATAAATATTTACTCAATTGAACTGAATCTATTATTTTTAGTTTCACACTCAGATAGGAATAATATCCATAAGTACTGATGATTCCTTGTTATTTCCCAGCATATTGTCACCTTTCAGAACATAACATACTTTACTACTCTGGCTTTTGGCCACATTACTACTTCTTGAGGGATCCCCCCTTTTTTTTTTGCTTAAATTTTTAAAATATGTTTTAATTAGTTATACATGACAGTAGAATGCATTTATGCACTTTGATATATCATACATAAATGGGATATAATTTCTCACTTTTCTGAGTGTACATGTTGCAAAATCATATTGGTCATGTAGTCACATATATACATACAGTAATAATACCGGTTTCATTCTACTATCTTTCCTATCCCCACATCCCTTCCCCTCCCCTCCCATCACTTTTCTCTACCTAATCTAAGGTAAGGCTATTCTTCCCTAGTGTTCCCCACCTTATTGTGAATTAGCATCTGCATATTAGAGAAAACATTCGGCCTTTGGTTTTGTGGGATTGGCTTATTTTGCTTAGAATGATATTCTCCAACTCCAACCATTTACTGGCAAATGCCATAATTTCACTCTTCTTTAAAGCTGGGTGATATTCCATTGTGTGTGTGTGTGTATGTTTGTGTGTGTGTGTATGTGTATCATATTTTCTTTATTCATTCATCTATTGAAGGACACCTAAGTTGGTTCCATAATCTAGCTATTGTGAATTGAGCTGCTATAAACATTGATGTGGCTGTGTCACTATAGTATGCTGATTTTAAGTCCTTTAGGTATAAACCAGGATTCCCCTCTTTTGACTGTTATGACCCCAGTGTTTCTTGGCTTCCCTTACCTCTTAGAAAGCTCTTTCTCTTTTTACATAATGGATTTCCTTTCACCCATTAATAATTTGAATATCTGTGTTTCCCTGAGTGCTGCCTTGGACCTCTTTATTCCTCCCTGTTGCACATACCTGGGTGAGTTCATCCAGGTTGTGGTTCCAGTCCTGCCCTCTCTCCTTTCCAGAGTTCTAGGCTCATCCATCTAGCTACTTATTAGATATCTCCACACTTGGTATCCTTCCATTTCAACCTCAATGGCTATGTTTGTTTCTTTTTCCTCAACTACTGTGCCATGAATTCAATTCAAAAAATTCCGATAGTGTTAACAAAAAAAAAAATAGAATAGAATAGAACTGATGTGAAACTATCAGAAATGAAGAACCATTTGAAGAAAATTTTAAAGTGTGCATTTGGTTATGATGTATAATGTTTTCTTGCTGTGGATCACTGTGAAAACATTCTTTCAATTTCTTTTCCCCAACTCAAATTAAAGTTTACCCCTTTGATCCTTTTCCCCTGCTTAGTCTTAATTCAGGCACTGAGTTAGTGCTAGCTAAGCTGAACTGACTACCAAGCATCTAATACAAACTAGTTTTTAAGAAGTATAAGGAAAGCATAATAATCTTTAATTTGAAAGTATGCTTACAGTTCGCAGAAATTTAAATGAGTGACCTTTGATTTCCAGTGCTGAGAAACCAGAAGTTGAATATCCATAATTAAATTTCATTAGGTGTTAATACTTACTACTTGAATCATTTTGAATAATTTTCTTGACTTTTCTGAGCTTCATCATAATCTTTTCCGTCATTATCTCTGCTCAAGAATTTATCACAGCACCGTGGTCCCTAACATAACAAATCTAAATGCCTTAACTCATTAAACTCAATAAATATTTACCAAAGCTAACTTTGAAAATACAGCAGTGAATAAACTGAAGGCAAAAATCTCCAGTTGCAGGGAGTCACATTTTATGGGAAGCACCTCTCCCTCAAGTCCCTCCCAAGGTTTTCCAGCCTTATCAGGATTTTT